AAAAATACGACCCTTATGCAGTAAACTTCCCTATCTGTCAAGGCCTAGCTCTCATGTTTATTGCAAATGGATTTCCAGTGGTGACAAGGCACTAGGAATGATGGGTAACCAGAGTGAGAATAATGCACACCACTTGGTGTGCCTGGTATCCCGTCCTTTGTGTCTGCGGGTAGTGTTCATTAAGTTACCTCAGAAATAAATGTGTCTGTAAAATACAGGGCATGTGAACACACCAAAGGGGTTCTCAAGCAATCTCATTTGTTCTGCCAAGTTTCTACTGTGCTAATGACATTTAATATGGGAACCGGAAGCTGCTATTGAAGGCTGGTTAACAGGTTGCTGGAGTCCCAGTGGACGCTAGCCAGGGCAGAGGACTCCATCTGTGGGGAGCCTTGTCCACCCTCTCCTCTCCCAGAGCTTCTCATCCATTTGACCATATTTTGCCTGTATAAAGAATTCTGCTGCTGGAAAGCAGTTATAAAACCCAACAAGTGGATGATGAGAACATGAGTTAGTTTTAGAGAAATGTTATCATTTAGGAAAGTGTTTTCAGTTAAAACAAATGTTGCCTTTTGTTGTAACTTGACTGGATGTCTGTAAGAGGTCTGCGCCTGAGACCCAAGATGAGGTTGACCAGATAATACATGGGACTTGCCATCCTCTTTTAAGCTTGTGCCTGGTTCTTTTTCTGATCACGTGGTGGATGTGAGAACCGTGGTTTTCATGTCAGATATTTAGACTGTTTTGAGTTTCCTGGGATGCAGGAAACCTAGCACTTAGAGAACTACCATCTTCAGTGTTTGGAAGTCTAGAAAATACATTATGGTGTCTTAGTGACATCATAAAAAACTTTAAACCCAGCCCTCTAGTCTTCTAGGTGGTATCTATCAGAGTTGGTTCTGTTCAGGGCCATTTGATCATTGGGAAATAATGAGGCTCTAGAGATGCCCCAAAGCTCTGAGAGGAATGAAATGGCCTGTCCATGTTCTGCCAGCAGGTGGTGTGGGCAGAAGAACCTGGTGGAATGTCAGTCAGTGTGGCTAAGTGGTTGAGCATGAACCAGGAGGTCACAGTTCAATTCCCGATCAGGGCATGGGTTGTGGGCTCGATCCTCAGTAGAGGGCGTGTAGTAAGCAGCCAATCAATGATTCTCTCTCAATTGATGTTTCTACCTATCTCTCCCTCTCCTTCCTTTCTCTGAAATCAATAAAAACATATTTTAAAATTTTTAATTAAAAAAAAAAGAACCTGGTGGAAAACTTGGGCTTGGTCATCGGGCAAATAGAATACCCATTATAGCTGGGAACGCCAAGACCCGGGTTTAGTCTGGTTCTGCCACTGCATTGTTTTGTGGCCGATTATGTGTTGCTTAACCTTTCTTTGCCCTGATTTCCCTGTTTGCGAAATTGGTTCATCGAAATTTTCCTCGTCTTTCACCTCTCAAGGATGATTTCCACAGCTTGCCTATAAAAAGTTCAGTCCTTAAAGGACAGCACTGTAAGATCAAAGGTGATGCTAAAAAGAGCAGGAACCAGGTAGATGTGGATATTTCATGTCCTTTCTGTTAGAACAAAGGCATTGCCTAACATTTTGGATCTGATGCAACATACCATAAATCCTGACACATAGTTGGAAGTAGGAAATTGTGATTAAGGTACCAACCCAGCAACAGACTCAGCTAGTTGAGTGTGATTGTAAGGAGAGCTAGGTGTTCTATATGCGGGGAATTGTTTTTCCTAGATTTATGAGACTGGGGCAAAAGTAGGTTTGCAGTTGTGAGTTGTGACAGACTTTATTCTTGTATTTATTAATTACTGTATTTTCCATTTGAACAACTGTAAACCTACTTTTGCCCTACCCTGTATTCTGATGATGCCTTCTGGTCTAGATTGAGTTTACTATAATTTATTATCAACCTGGCTTTCTTTAGATTTATTTTTTTGTTGTTTTAATATGAGAAGAACGGACAAGAGAGAGAGGGAAACATCAATGATGAGAGAGAATAATTGATCAGCTGTCTCCTGTACGCCCCACATGGGGGATTGAACCCACAACCTGGGCATGTGCCCTGACCGGGAATAGAACTGTGACCTCCTGGTTCACAGGTCGACATTCAACTAGTAAGCCACACTGGCTGGGCATAGATTTACTTTTAAGAAGATCCAAAAGCGAAGTAAATAATTCATTACAAGTTTTTTTCCAGCTTTTAGAAGTGGGTTTAATAATAGTTCCTGTGATTACTTTTTGAAGTCCTTGTGGTACCTTTTTTTAGATCCAGGGTTGTCTCTGCCATGTTAGCACATGTAAAGGTGTTCAGAGGTTAAGCGGTGGACACATTTTCCTCAGGGGAACTTAGGGTGACGGAGTGTATGGTCCTATCTTTATTGTACCTGGAGGCTGACTGAGGGTTGGCTTGTAAGCTGCTTTTTAAAATCAGTGAGCTATAAATAATCGAGAATGTGAAATGTGAAAGGAGCAGGGGAGAGAGAAGCCTTTTAGCTGGAAATAAGTTTTTCAAGGCAAAATGACCAGTTTAGTTATGCTAAATTTTAATAGTTGTCCCACTCATCATATTGTAATGTTCATAAGATGAGCTCTACAATAAGAGGACATTGAGCTAAAACTTAACCACTCATTTCTGGGGGAGCGGGTATTTTTACTGCAGCACATTTAATTGTCTTTTGGAGGGCTGGCTTGATATTTAACGATCCTTTAATTATGTGTCCCCAGTTGACCTTTGCTCTGTTGCCTGTAAGATACACTGTCCTGATCATCCTGTCCAGATTGAAGTGTAAAGTTTAACGCATTGTAATTGAGGACAGGTTTGATTTGTCAGCTAGATTGTGGCCATGTGTGTGCTGTGGACAATACAGTCTGCTTTCCAGAACGTTGCTAAGTGTTGACAAACTTTCCTAGGTGGTTTGCTGGTGCCAAACCTTTTAGTTTCTGTGAAGATTAAGTTGTGATTGCTACCCTCTAGTGGTAACTTGCCCAATCTTAAGATAAAAGTCTATTTTCCCTGGTGGTTGGGAAAATTGGTGATTTATATTGGCTCAGTTTTCTAAATTAGACTTGCTCTGAAGAAGCTGTTTGTTCCAGCCGTTTGTGTAGGTCCGGCTCCAGCTGGCCTGATCCTGCTCGCTCTGCCACGTGGAGAGTGCTGCCTGCGCATCTGGCTGTCAATGATCTTTCCCTGATTAGCAAATGGAAAACTCAGTCTTTTTTTAAAAATATATTTTTATTGATTTCAGAGAAGAAGGGAGAGGGAGAGAGAGAGAAACATCAGTGATGAGAGAGAATCATTGATCGGCTGCTTCCTGCACGCCTCACACTGGGGATTGAGCTTGCAACCTGGGCATGTGCCCCAACCAGAAATTGAACTGTGACCTCCTGGTTCCTAGATTGATGCTCAATCACTGAGTCACGTCAGCTGGGCAGAAAACTCAGTCTTTAACAGCAAACTGCTGCAGTCCAAAAACCTACCCTAAACAAACAAAAAAACTAAACACGTGCTTGATATAAAACCGCAGACAGCCTCAAAACATTTGGTGTGTTTTTAGCCTTTTTGGTTTACCCAACACTAATATAAAAGTTATTGTATGCTTTTTGAAAAATGTTTCTGTCAAGACAATTTCAGTCAACTCGCCTTATTGATGTACTTGAGCTGTCTTTTTACATATTTTTGTTTCTGCTTTCAGATAAAAATGATGATGGAGGCAAAATAAAGCATCTGACATCCTCAAGAGAATGTAGTTACTGTGGAAAGTTTTTCCGTTCAAATTATTACCTCAATATTCATCTCAGAACGCATACAGGTAAGGAACTTTTTAGATTTTCTTAAAGGATGTATTAATCAAAAGAATTATAATGTGCTTTGTGTCTGATTTTTGTTGCTGTTCAGATAGTCTGGTAGGTCCTTGGACTAGTTTAAGAATTAACATGTAGCATGCAAGTTGCAGCTGTCATGTTAATACTTTCAGTATCATTGTAACTTGAACTGTAGTTCCTATTTTGAAATTAGTTTCCTGTTTAGTTTCTGATTACTGTATTCTCTCATTTTCAAACCTCTTTCATGTGTTTTTAAAAAATTTTATTTATTGCTTGCTTTTAGAGAAACATTGATTTGTTACTTCACGTATTTATGCATTCTTTTACTTTTAAATTGAACTTGTTGGGGTGACATTGGTTAATAAAATTATAGGTTTCAGGTATACAATTCTACAACACATCATCTGTATATTGTATATATATTTAACATCCCAAGTCAAGTCTCCTTCCATCACCACTATTCCCCCTTTACCTTCTACCTCCCCATTCCCTTCCCTCTGGCAATCATCTTCCTATTGACATTGGTTGATTCTTGTATGTGCCCTTTCTGGGGATCGAAACTTGAAACGTTGGCAAAGTTATCAGGGCAGTGCTCTAACCAATGAGCTACCCAGCCAGGGCCTTTAATGTATTTTAAGGTCACAGCTTTTTTCTGTTTTTATAGTGTAGAATGAAACGGGAATATATTTTACAGTTTTTTCTTTAGATTATAGAAGCAGTTGTAACAGTGGGTAGGAAGCTGCATGCACTTGAATTTCATCTCTTCCTCTCACTAGCTATGCAACTTTGGTCAAATGATTGACCTGTTCTGAGCCCCTGTTTTCTGAGCTGTAGAGATGGGATAATAATATTCACTTCCATAGGGCTATTATGAAGGTTAGAGGAGTATAAAATGTTGCTATTTTATTTAAAAAATTAAGACGTATTCACATGTTCAAATACTCAGTATAGTAAGTGTGATAAAGAAACACCTCATGAGGACCCCTGGCTATGAAGATTAGTAGATGGAGAGGGAAAAGGAAAGAGCCCTGTATTCTGTGTGATAAAGATCTCTTTTGATTTTTTCATAAACTTCTGTAATATGGTAGTGTTTCTTGTTTTAGGTGAAAAACCGTACAAATGTGAATTTTGTGACTATGCTGCAGCCCAGAAGACCTCTCTACGGTATCACTTGGAGAGACACCACAAAGATAAGCAGGTCGATGTGGCCGCTGAGGTCAAGAGCAAAGGGAAAAACCAGGAAACGGAAGATGTACTACTCATCGCCGACAGTGCGCAAACCAGCAATTTGAAAAGATTTTTCGATGGTGCCAAAGATGTGAAAGGCAGCCCACCTGCCAAGCAACCTAAGGGGATGGCCCCTGCCTTTCAGAATGTTCTGGGCAGCGCTGTCCTCTTGCCAGTACACAAAGATACTCAGGATTTCAATAAAAATGCAACTGAAGGTAGTGCTGATCAGCTAGGCAGACACCCAGCCCCTGCTTATTTGGACGTGTTAAAGAAGAGACCAGTGCCCGAAGCTCATGCTATCAACCTCGCTCACAGAGCAGAAGTGGCTGCTCCGCCTCATCCTCACCCAGACGCCACTGCCGCCCACAAGGCCGAGGTTGGCCTCAAAGAGAAGGCAGAGGTGGCAGCAGACAGCAGAGTGAAGCCCAGCATGGACTGTCAACACTCACATTGCCACTTCATTTACAAGGCTGGGCTGGTCTGCACAGAAATCCACTTTAATAATCTTCGAGGACTTGGGCTCCACAATACCATCACTTGGAGAGACTGACTCTAGCACTTTAGCCCCCAGTAACCTGAAGTCGCACAGGCCACAGCCCAGCATTGGGGTGCAGGGGGCTTCAGCCGCCAGGCAGCAGCCCTCGGAGATGTTTTCTAAAAGCGGAGTTTCTCCTGCCCCGGAGAAGACCAAAAGGCCAGAGACGAAGTTCAAAGCCCCGGTGGTCTCCGTGTCCCAGCCCTCGAGCAGCAGCACCATCAATGGCTCCGCCGACTTCTCGGCCAAGCACAACGGCCTGTGGGCGCCCGCGGGAAGAGACTACTTCTGTGGCCGCAGCGCAGGTGTTGCCAGCCCGGAGCTCGGAGAGCCGCTTCCCAAGCGGCCAAAAGCCGGGCCCGTGGTCCTGGACGCGGAGCAGCCTGGGCCCCACTACCGAAGGGTCCTTGACCTGCCCAAGTACACGGTGGGCCGTGGAACCGCAAGGCTGCTGCCCCAGGAGTACGCGTTCCCGCCGCCGAAGGTGCTGCCCTCCAAGCCGAGGTTCCTGGCGTCGGGCGAGATCGACTCCGCCAATGTGCTGACCTTACACTCGCCCTACAGCGGGCCCGCGTCACTCTACACGTGCAACCCTGCGAGCTCTGCTGCTGGCGTGGCGCTGGAAGGTACTGCCCAGTCAGGTTCAGCTGTGCATTCTTGTGGGGGTTCCTCCCGGGGACAGAGTGCGGGGGGAGGTGTCCGACAGTGGGGTGTTCCTAAGTTTGGCAATGGTTTGTGGTCCCCAAAGCTCAGCCCTCCAGGGTATGGTCTTATTCCTGAGTATTGACTTTCTCTTGCTGATTTAATCTTTCTACCTTGTGGGGGTGATAATCAGAAAGGCTGTTGAGGAACCCTGACCTGACCCTCTCCTGCTCTGAAATCTCAGGTGCCATTTAGCCCTGGTCACCTCCCCCCATCAGGTCTTTTCCTCCCACAGATGTGGTGTGCCCCCAGCACTCAGGCCCAGCCTACCCTGGGGTTTGAGACTTGGGGAACTTCTGCCCACATCTTACCACCACTCCTAGGCTGGCAGCTCCTTTAGAGTGGAGCACGCATCTTGGAGAACTTAAATTGCCTGCAGCGCTCACGTGCCCCAACAAGGGAGGCCAGGGGTAGGGAGTAAATGCTACCTGACGACCTTGACCTGTCAGGAGCAGACCCTGTGCGAACTGCTCTTAAACAATCTTTTGAGCAGTTTTGATGTCAGGACTAATAGAATTATACTGCCTACTTAGTCCTTGGGAAATACTAAGAGAATTTCAAAAGTGCCAGTACTTCCCCATATATATCAGTTGTTAGCTTGTAGATAACTCGTGCTCTCCCCATGGGAGTGTGTTCAAAGCCTCGGCTTCCTTTTAGCAGTGCTTCGCAGGGGTGTCTGCCTGTGAAAGGGTAGATGAGAGTGTCCTGGGCCTGTCCCGCTAACCCTCCTGCAGAATGTAAGCTCAGTGCTTACTAATGTCAGATTATGGATTGTGTATGGTGACAGTACCCATCAGGGGTAGCGTGATGTGAATTGATCGCTAATTAAAAAACAATTGCTTCCCACACTCCAATGATTTTAAAAGTTGCGATGAAATATTAATTTCTGTTGCCTTTTGATTAAATGCGCCCATTTCCCCCCCTTGCACTTAAAGCGGACATGAGTCAAAACTTTGTCTTTACTTGATGAGAAGATACATGTTGCAAGTATAGTCCTTTTTTAAATGAGTGGTTTTCTCTTCCACAGTTCTGGTTCTTGATGGATTTAGCTTTAAAGTATCTTATGCTGCCTTTTTTCTTCTGTTTTTTTAGTTCTTTCTACAACAGCCAGGACTTTGAGGATTTAGCTTTAGTGACCTAAGGTCCTGTGGTAACACATGTCCTCCTGGCTCTTGAAGACGAAGCGGACTGGTGGGCTCCGATCACATTATCAGTTAGGAATTTAGAAAATTGACCTCTGACAGCCCACCCACAGCTTACCTAATGGCTTAAACTGAATTCTAAATGCCCTTTTACACTTTTTTTCAAACAGGAAAAAGGCCTGTGTCTTATCAACACTTATCTAGCAGCATGCTTCAAAAGAGAAACTATGAGAATTTTATTGGGAATGCACATTATCGGCCAAATGACAAGAAAACTTGATTTCCTATTTTGGGGAAGAAAGGTGAGCGTATACATAATGTATTGATTTTGTTTAATTGAAAATAAGCCATCTAACTTTGCCAGTAAAATAGAAAGTAAAATTGCTTTTCATTTTCATTTAAATTTTTTTTTAGGTGTTTTATTAAAACTTAGAGTGCTCAGGAGAGAAACAGTAAGATAGCAACTGAAAGTTAGTAAGCAGTTACTTTGTGGTAGGTAGGCATTGAATGTTTTATAAACATGGTTTTATTTCATCCTTCTTCCAGCAGGTGGCGGTAGGTCAGGCATCAGCAGACTGTGTTCCCTGCTTGTTTTTGTCAGTACAGTTTATTGGCACCAGGCCATGATATTGTCTGTGGCTGCAGAGTTGGGTAGTTGTGAGTGGAACAGATTATTACTGACAGATTACTTGCACTGTGCACTACAGCCCATCAGTAACAGTACAGGCTGACTGTCCTGTCTGTCCAGCACTGGCCTTTTTCTGCATCCTCCAGACTTTTAGATAGAGGAAGGGGGAGAAAAGGAGGGAGGAGGGAAGATAGAGAGGAGGAGAGGGAGAAACATTGATGTGAGAAAGAAACATCAATCGGTTACCTCCAGTATGCACCCCAACCAACTGGGACTGATCCTGCAGTCGGGGCATGTGTCCTGATAGGGAATCAAACTGGTATCCTTTCGGCACATGGGGAGGATGTTCAACCAACCGAGCCACAGTGGCCAAGGCCCTGCACCCTCTTGTCAAACAACCTTTCTGATACTTCAGGACCAGCTCACATACCATTTCTGCAGATGTTTGCAGAGAGCCAGGCTGCTTCCCCAGGTGTGTTGCCTCTGCCAGTGTGGTTCATGCCCTTTTCCGCCCATCTCACCTAGATGTCTGATTCCCACCACTAGCTGAGCTCCAGAGGAGAGTCCTTTGTCCAGTGCCTAGCCCATAGCCGGGACTGTCATTGATAACTAGGTAGATGTTGAACAGATAATGTTACAAACTTTTTATGTACCTTCTTGTGGACGGAGGTTACTCTGAGTCACTTGTTTTGTTAATGACTCCTGGTCTGTCCATACATTTTCCTCTCAAACGGTAGAAACTTGCAGAGTTTGTTGGAGTGGCAACTGGCTTTGCAGACTGAATTCACTGATGTGAATTCTGAGTCTTGGTTCATTCCTCTCCGCCGAATCAGTGAAATAAATACCAATGACCATGGAAGTTGTGTGGCTTTATCTGTCTATTTGTCTGTCTCCTACTACTTCCACTGCAGAGTTCAAGCTCCAGCGCACACGCAGGGCTTGAGCTCTGGTGGTTCTGTTGGTTTGGTGCACTTAGGGTTGTTTAAACCCGCCTCCATTTTATCGCAGTCACTCTTTACACCTTTGTTTCCCTTAGGTCTTGATGGATGTGTGCTCCATGAAGTTGAGTCAGTTCATCCTTCGAGAAAGTGAGCGGTGAAAGCTACTGAAATAAGCTGTGACTGTACTGTACATACACCACAGA